CCTCCAGTGTCCACTAGAGTCTGTCTCCTGCAGTGAGTCAGTCCCCATAGAACCCCATGTTAAAAGGTCCATGTTTACATCCTGGTACAAAAACAGTTTTGGTGTGGGCCGAGTGCAGACCGTCCCTCGACCAGACTAATCTTCCTTCGTGGGTGTGAGGCCCCCCAGGGTGTCATGATACGAGCTTTATGAGTCCAACAGCTGATTGCTGAGCATCATGCTCTCGGGGGGTTTGATTCCAATGACCTTGTGGCCTTTTGCAGGATAACATATATTGTTCTGTTGAAGATGTCAGATGGGGAGGATTGATACTCTTGCTGGTCTCCAAGGAGGTGATGGTGTGGCTTGAAACCTTGAATCCTTCTGAAGAATCATCTCTGGAAACACAGTGTTGTAATCGAGGCTCTGGACTCATGAGACCTTTTCAGACTGCGTTTCCATAAAAGTGCTAATATTTTTTTTTAAGGGGTTTGACTGCAGTTTATCAAAGACTCATACTTCTCTTACACGCCTGTATTATAAAATAAATGTTTATTTGATTAAGATCTGGTACTACTTAATACTCGTGATCATAAATGTTGGAAATGTTGACGACCTTCATTTAAACCTTTTAATGGCTCATTAGTGTAATGGAGGTGTGGTTATAGTCATATCTTAGGCTGGGGAGGGGCCAATGTGAGATCTGTTCATGGGGCCCAGAGATCCTGGAGACGCCCCTAGATATGCTCTGGTGATTGGTTGTTTTTGTTGTGTTTGTCAAAGTTGTACTTCAGACAGACACATGTTGGTTTATAAAACATTTAGCTGCTCTAATAAATCATTATGTTTCAAGTGATCGGCCCCCTTGTGGTGATATTTCTGTCTGTCACTGAGGAAGACGACGACGACGAAGGAGTGTCTTCACATTAGACTCAGTGTGTGACAGTGAGGGGCGGAGCTTAAAGACACGATTATTTATCAGGCAAATAACTGAAATTATGACACCAATTAAACATGGAGCGAGGAGGATGTTTTTCACTCAAACTTTATCGACACTGATGGACAGGACAGCTGCAGCCTCATGAAGACTAAATATTTGTCCTCTGCTGCTCCTGTAACAGATCTCTACAGCTGTGTGTGTGTGTGTGTGTGTGTGTGTGTGTGTGTGTGTGTTTAATACAAACTGAGGAAAGAGTAAAGAGAGGTGAGACAGGTCAGATTCGAGGCACTTAAGTTGATTAAAATGTCTCTGCTGCAGTACCTCCTCCTCCCCTCCTCTCCCCATCTACCCTTTACTGCCTCCCTCTCCCCCACCCTCCCTCCGTCTCCTCCCTCCTTCTCCTTTTCCTTCTCCTCCCTCCATCTCCTCCCTCCGTCTCCTCCCTCCTTCTCCTCTCTCTGTCTCCTCCATCCTCCCCCTTTCTCTCCTCTCCTCTTGTTTTCAGAGAACGCTGCAGAACACAAACCTTGTTAGCCGAGGACAACAGGAGAAACACCAGATGATTCCATGCTCACTGAGAAGGTTTCATATGAAGCTGTGTTTGACTTTCACTTCCCTGATCACGACGGGCCTCAAAAAATCATCAAAACATTCAAAATGTGAGAGACCTGAAACTGTTGTAGTTCGGTTTTGTTCATGCACAAAATAGTTTACTAACAGAAAACCTCTGGGGTTTTAAAATGAAGACAATGCAGAAGTGCAAAAAAAATGTAGTTCCTCGAGTGTCCACTTGAAGCTGGCTCCGAAAGTGAGTCAATCCTCATTAGGTTCCATATTACAGTGTCCCTTTTTACAGCAGAAATAAACATGTTTACAGCCTGGAACAAAACACATTTTGATCTCTCTAACTCATTTTGTTATCGGCACATCCTGTACAGGGTTAAATAAGTTTACATCTTTTTTTACACATGTATAATTAGGGGCGTGGCTTAGTTGACAGACAGGTAGGCATGTTGTAGCTGTTTGTAAGGATGTTAAAGCCCCGGCCTGAGCCCCACCCCTTTCTTTGTCTCTTGATTAATCTAAAGGTAGAGTCAGCATTTCAAACATGGTGACTGCCATCATTCTGCTTCAAAACTCCTCTTTAGTACCAAAGATGTGACGTCACTGAGACCACCTTCATGTTTTATACAGGCTGTGGGTTTTACCAAAAAAATACTTTTAAAATGCTCTCCTCCAAACTCTTCTTTTTCTACTGCTGGGATTTATTTTATGTTCACACTGGTCACATGTTATGTAAAATACTAGCAATGTCAGCATGACCTAGTTAATCATGATTAAGGTCTGAAATGAATCCATTTATGTTTTAATCTTTAGTAATCTCATGTTATTGAGAGCCCTTCCAGAGAGGGGGCGTGGGCAGACACAGCTCATTTACATTTAAAGGTACAGACACAGAAACAGCCTGTTCTGAGCAGGGCTGAAATAGAGGGGTTTATAGGCATGATCAAATACAGGATCAGAGTGGATTTACAACAAGAAACTTCACACACATGTTTTGAGGAGCTCTGAGACTTATTTACACCGGTTGAAGAGGAGGAGGATATGTGACCTTTATTTAATATGTAGACTCAGACTCCACCAGGTTTGCAGACTTACAGATCCTAAACGATCTGAGTGCTGGAACTTCAATAGTCTGCTCCTCGTTTGGTTTCCATGGCTGACTTTTTGTCATGACTTGATTTCCTCTAACTTAGTTCGCCTACACATTGTGGTAATTGTGATAGTTTGATGCATGCTGTGTGAGACTGTCAGTGTTTGAGGTTTGTCGTGGTCATTTGAGAGCTTCTCCTCTATTCTGAGCTCCACTTCTCTTAATCCTGAGGGGACGCTCTGCAGAACAGTTGTTGTCTCCAGAGCCAAAAAAAGACAACAGTTGTCCCTTTAAAAGCCCCGGGGCAGAGTGTGTGTGTGTGTGTGTGTGCGTGTGTGTGTGTGTGCGTGTGTGCGTGTGTGCGTGTGTGCGTGTGTGCGTGTGTGTGTGTGTGGCCAAGGACATCCAATCCCATTTTTGTAAATACTAACCCTTGGAGCCCTGACACGCTCTTTCTCTCCTCGTGCATCAGTTCATAAAGATGTTTTTAAGTAAATCTTGTATTCAGTCTTCGCTCACAGTTTATAAAATCAGTGTGGTGGGGGGGTGGAGACAGATACCAAGTGTTTATGTGTGCAGGGGCAGGTCTGTCTGTAACACCTCTGACATGTTTTATAGAATAGTAAATACCACCAGTGAAGGTTTTCTCAGCAACAGGTGTTCTGTTATTGTTAAAGATGGACGCAGTAGAAATGTTTGCAAACACAACATGCAAACGTGGCCTCTCCTCCTGGGCTCATCACCCCCAGAAGCCATGCCCACTCACTGCAGGACGTAGTGTGTACGTTTACTGCTTGTACCTACACTGCAAGCTAACGCACGCTAGCACAAGCCAACCGCCTGTGTTTTTCACCTGCCTGTCCAACAGGAAGCAGTACAAATCTGTGCCTGGAACTTCTCCTTTACTGCCCTCACAGAGCATGCTCACTGGGAGTCTCAGTCCCATGGCTCTGATCCGCGTTCATTATGTCGACTATGTCGTCTCTGTCCTTGCATCATGTGACGCTGCAATACCAGGTTCTGCCACCATGTAAAACTGGCTTCAACGGTCCACGTGCTTCCTGGGGTTTGGGTCTCACAAACACTTAATCTTCTGTTGCATCATGGGAAATGATTATCTTTTTGTTGTCTGTCTTTGTGATATTTCAAACACATTGAAGTAGAATAATAAACACACTTTTGCAATGTTTCCCCCTGAGGTTTCCTTCAGTCTGCTTTCATCTAAACACCTGAACTGGAAGCTTCTCTCACTGTGCTTCCACATCGTGCTGAGCGTCATGTGTGAACACAAACAGCTGAATGTTTCTCTCTTCACCCAGAGTTTCTCCTCCAGCCTCCTCGTATTTATTCTGCAGAAAGTCAGAGTGAGCTGATGTGAGAACGCAGCAGGATATAATCAGGAGAATTCACCTGGAGCCAGTGGGAGGGGGTGGTGACGTTTATTCCCTGTGATCGCTGCACGACCATAGACTGTCTGCACGCCACCTCTACCATCTCCGTGCTCTAATGAACCTGCTGCATTATGTTTCCTGTTCTCCAGTATGTTCTACTCCACTCTTTAGTTCACATTGAGATTTTGTTCAACTACATGTAGCATTGATAGAAAGACACATATTCTCATTATAGCGTCCTATAGTGCAGAAGTTCCCAAACTTTGCGATGCCATGGAACCCGTGTAGCATCATCACCCTTAGCGCCCCCTGGTGCCGCTGCCTGAGTCAGGACCCCCACTTTGAAAAGCACTGGCATATCGGACTCTGTTGCATCGTTCTTTTTACGTCATGGTGGCCTCGTGAGACCCCTCCCCCTTCCTGTCATTGACCTATAGATGATGTCACAGTCTGTGGTAAGAAGTTTCCTGACAGTCTATAAAAGAAATCTTCAGCACCAACATCATGTTTATAATATTTAAGTAAAATAATAATGTTGATGTTTGCTGTGAGGACATCATTGTTTGTTTATGTGTTATAAAAGTATTTGGTACATTATTATGGAAGCCCTAAGCGGACATTTTATCCAACTCGGGTTTCCGGAGATAACCAGTTGGTCATTATATCATAATAACAATGCCAGTGCCGTTTCCTCTAGATACCATTTTTTTATTCATTCAGGCTATTCTAAAACAATTTTAAATATTTCAAATAAATTATTACTTTCAAGCCTCAGTAATTTTTTCTAATGCTGCAGGCTCCTCTGGGCTCCCGTAGTTTTGACTTTGTGCTCCATCTTTATGGATAAAGTTTTTTATGTCGGCCTCATTTTTCATCTCTTTGTTTATTTGTTATTCTAAATGTCAGCTGTGAGCTTAGAATTCATTCTTATATAATTTATAATTTTTTGACACAAAGAGAATGAAGTGTTTTATTTTTTATCTCCTTCAGTGAATCACAAACACTCGCAGTCTGTGTATAGATTATTTAACACCTCAGGCTTTCTGTGCTGTATGGAATCAAGCGTTCCGCCGCTGTTCTCGCGAGATGACGCGTCTTTACTATGTTTACAGGCAGTATTTAGCAGCAGCAGTCTCCCCCTGCCGTCACTGCTTTACGGTCCGGTCGAGTGGACGTTAAACGCGCCGCCGCTACTGCTGGGAGGAGGAGGCTCTACCGACATTTCGTGCCTGACAGCCGGCCGGAGGCTCCTCTCCTGCGGGACACGGTTTCATTCAACCACCAACCGACCTCCGGTGTCGTTAATTCAGCCGAGGAGAGGAAGAAACGAACCTGCAGCTCGCTTTGTTTGCTTCGCAGGGGTAGACAGGTAAGACCGAAACACCGGAGCCGTCCTTCTGGCTGCTAATGCTGCTCGAGAACACGGCTGACACTTTGAGATGTGAATGACATGGTTATAATAAAACTGGTAGAATTCCAGATGGGATTCTGCATTACAGTGACAGCTGTACACCTAATGGAGCTCGTGCGGTTCTCACACTGTTTATCTCGTGCGTGACAGATGAGATGCCCTATAATCTTTGCTTCATCAACGGTAGTCATGGTAACTGTCCATTTCCCGAGATCCACGGAACCGGTACCAGGTTAGGCGGTGCAGCTGTTCGTGCGGTGAAGAGCGTCACGCCGAATCCCATTACAATTTCTACAAATTTAGAGTTTTCTCGCTCACGTAATAATCCATACGGCTCATTGGACATGGATGGTTATCAACTCTGAATGTACGTGAGGAGTGAGTCTTTTCGGCTTCCATATAACCTGTAAAAAAGAATAGTTTCAGTGACATTGTATTTAAACTGCAAACAAGCCTGCAGGAATAGCAAGTAAACGCCTTGTAGGATTGCATTACTCACACACAGGTTCATGTTGTATGACAGAGAGACATTCAATTGTCAAATTCATGTGCGTCTGTGTGTGCGTGTGCGCGAGCGCGCGTGCGTGTGTGTTTGGTTGCAGCTGGAGGAGACAGTTCTGGGAAATCGATGTGTGTGACGCGCCTCGATGGCGAGACGCATGTGGCTGCTGTGTGTTGTTGGTATCCTCTTTCGTTCACCGTGTGTGTGTGTGTCAGTGTATCTCACACACTCGGTAATAGACGTGCACGCTCTCTGGTTTTGCAGAAAGCTCAGATTGAATCTTTCTGCAAAGATCTGCACATTTTGAACACGTTTAAAGGTTGAATTCCATCTTTTTTTAAAGCGTTTGTTGGATTGTATGTGTAGTGTTTCATGTTAACATTATTTACCCTGATAGTGTTTTTATTTCCTGTCAGAGAGCAGATTACTAAACATCGTGACATCCCTGCTCTCCTTACAGAAGCTGTGCAGCTTCTAATCAGTCACACAGCTGTGTGTGTGTGCGCGTGCGTTTTTGTGTATGTCTCCACGTGTGTGTGTGTGTATGTGTGCGTGTGTTAGATAACAGCGTTTCAGGGATGCTGTGTGTTGGCTGAGGTGTGGGAACAGATAAGAGGTAGGTTGATGATGAACGGGTGTTTACAGTGGTTAAAACAAACTCTGTCCTCCTTCTCTGCTCTGATTTACGCCCTCCTATAACTCCAAGGACTTAATGCAGCTCTGACAGCTGGCACCGCATGCCGCTCTCCTCTCACTGCCAAATACTAATCAATGCTGCGGCTTTTTATTCATTTATTAAAAGTAGCATTCCTGCACACGGGATAATATCTGTAAGTGAGTCTGACTCTGCAGTTTTGGGTCCTCGGGGGAGTACTTTGTCTCTGTGAGCTGCTGTAATCCTGAATCAGGGCGAAGTGACGGGACATTAATATGGTCACAATAATGACATCATAAGGCCGGTTTGAGGAGCGTCTTTAAAACATCTGAAGGAACAGTTTAATGAGCTGATCACTGAAGCTCGTTTGCTCAACCTGTCCGTCGCAGTTTTTTCATGTAGAGACGGGACCGTGGATAGAGTCAGAGATCAGGGCGAGAGAGAGAGAGAGTGGGGGGTTACATGCAGGAAAGAGCCCACAGGTCAGATTTGAGCTCAGGCTGCCCCCTTGGAGGACTATAGCCTCCGTACATGGGGTTCACGACCTAACCGCTGGGCTACCAGCATCCCAACAAAAACTAAAATCACAGACGACCCCTCCCACCCCCTCCACCCTGATCACAGACGACCCCTCCCACCCCCTTCACCCTGATCACAGACGACCCCTCCCACCCCCTTCACCCTGATCACAGACGACCCCTCACACCCCCTTCACCCCTGTTTCCAGTTACTGCCATCATGTGGACTTTCCAAAGTCCCTGTGTCCCATAATAACAGCTACAGAACATCCTTCATTGGTTGTTGTTGTTTATTATTTGAGCCTCGTCAAAGCAGATGTTCTGTCTCTGTTGGGACAGACAGTAAAGTTTATCTATCTCCCTAAACACCGACACTGAAAGGAAGCATCGCAACCAAAGAAACAATCTTACTGATAAATGTGTTCCTGAAGGTTCCTCATGTTGAATCAGTTTGACTATTAGTGGAGGATTCTGTCCCACAGACGTGTTGCAGTTTGATCTGCTTGTTCCCCTGACTGAAGCTTCTCTAAAATGTTCCAGTTCATCCACAGTGTGTTTGACCTGCTCAGCCTGTGGGCGGGTTAAGAGTCAGACAGCAGAGAACAGTTTAATGTGGGAGTTGGCAGAAAAATACTCTCAAACTGTGAGAGTGTGCGGCTGAGTCCTCGCTGTAACATCCTCGCTTTAACGTCCTCGCTTTAACGTCCTCGCTGTAGCGTCCTCGCTGTAACGTCCTCGCTGTAACGTCCTCGCTGTAGCGTCCTCGCTGTAACGTCCTCGCTTTAACGTCCTCGCTGTAACGTCCTCGCTGTAATGTCCTCGCTGTAATGTCCTCGCTTTAACGTCCTCGCTGTAACGTCCTCGCTTTAACGTCCTCGCTGTAACGTCCTCGCTTTAACGTCCTCGCTGTAACGTCCTCGCTTTAACGTCCTCGCTGTAACGCCCTCGCTGTAACGTCCTCGCTTTAACGTCCTCGCTGTAACGTCCTCGCTTTAACGTCCTCGCTGTAACGTCCTCGCTGTAACGTCCTCGCTGTAACGTCCTCGCTGTAACGTCCTCGCTGTAATGTCCTCGCTTTAACGTCCTCGCTGTAACGTCCTCGCTGTAATGTCCTCGCTTTAACGTCCTCGCTGTAACGTGCTGCCAGCTAACAACGTCTGAATGTTCCTCATGGTGTGACACATCTGTTATTTAATGATGGATAGAATCAAACGGTAACAAAGCTTTAAGAGGACCAACGAGTGCGAGACGAGTCAACGCATCAACAGAAAGATCTCCTGCACACAAACAGTGCCGACGTGTTTGTGTCGGGAAGGAGCATGAAGACGCCATCTTTGTTTGTTTCAGTTTTCAATAATAGAAGTGGGCCCTCGTTAGCCTCAGCTCTTACATGGTTAATAACAGGACCTTTTATGGACATAAAGTTCTGGTTCTGGATCAGTGTGAGCAGAGACCCACGCTGACTGTGTTTACTGTAAAGCACTCTAAAGAAACCAGAGAAGAAGAAACCCGGAGGAGTCGGGCTCAGTGTGATGACGGTTCATTAGGTCAGTTAGACTTTTACGTGTGTGTGTGTATATCTGTGTGTATCTGATTGTGTGTGTGTGTATGATGTGTGTATGTGTGTAATGGGTAAATGTACAGTAGATGGACTTGAGCTTTTCTAGTCTTCCGACTACTCAAAGTGCTTTTACACTGCATGTCACACCTACACATTCACACACTGATGTTAGTGGTTGCTATGTAGTATCATCCATCAGAAGTAACTAATCCATTCATACACCACCACCGAAGCAACAGGAGCAATTCGTGGTTAAGTGTCTTGCCCAAGGACACATCGAACATGTTGCCCAGCTGGGGATAGAATCTGTGTGTCCAGAGGGGTGTTGTGTGAATCATTAGATGACCAAACTGCAAAATGGAAAATTCCAGTGATCCCTCTGCAGCTGGTTGTCCGTCAGAATCCCCCCCCCCGTCACAGTATGTGCCATGCTGTCTTCAATCAGGTCCTCACGCGCACCGCTCATGTGAGGTAGTATTCCCTCCTAGAGATCGTTTGCTCTGGTCTGAATGAAGGATCAGTTTTGGTCTTCAGAGACTTCAGGTGTTTCTCAGGTTTCATGTTTCGGGAGGATCGCAGACTTTGAGTCTGATGTTTTGACATCGTGGCCCGGTCAGAGACGGACCTCCCAGTTTAATGTTTGGATAAAACATTTTGTACTCTTCAGTCTCCATCTGAATGGTTTCTATTAAAGAGTTCCAGCTCATACTTGTCCCACTCTGATACTTTCTTGGGGTGGGGGGGGTTCTGGATTGACCGCCATGCATCAGGATTCATCTGTCTTCTCCTCTGAGCAGGAGCCTGACCGGGCCCAGGGAGAAACACCCGTACACATCCTGTCTAACACTTTGACTCTGTGATTGGCTTTGGTTCATGGTGTTTGGAGTCCTGCTTGAAGGGCCAAACCTGCACGCTTACACAAACGGAGCTCAGCGGCATGCAGCCAAGAGACCACAAACATTACACCCGTCGTGTTGCTGCATGAAAACTCGAGGAGTGAAACACGTGTGAGCCGGCTGCATGAATCAAAGGATCTGATCAGGAACTCATCATGCTCTTGGAGAAGATATGGATCCTCTGTGATTGGCCCTGATTCTCATCGTGGAGACGTCGCTGTGATTCAGGTGGAAACCGTCTGCTGATGAATCTTTTGCTGATGATTTCTGCTTCTTGTTTTTTAGCCTTCATTATTAATAGCTGTATGTTTGCACCAGCTGCTGCAGGTTCTGCTTTTCCATCTGTGCTCTGCATTAATGATCATTAAGACGAACAAAACAACCAGCAGCCTGTTGTGGTGTGTGCATCCTCTGCTCCTCACTGCATCTCTGATTCCCTCCTCAGTCTCTCCATGTTCACTTGTTGTTTAAGACATCTGAGCGTCTGATCATATAGAAACACGTTTCAGTGCGTTGTCTCCACACTCACACTGACGTCTCTGTCCAGGTTTCTTCCTGATAGACACGATGTGACATGACCCCGCCCCCCCTGAAACCAATCCTCCTGTGAACTTCAGACACAAATTCCTGGGTCTAATTTAAGGAGTGACACACTTTCTCCCCCCCTGTCTCCCCCTGCCCCTCCCCTCAGAGTCTTCCCCTGCCCTCCTCTCTTATTTCCTCACCCACTGGAACCAACACTCCCCCCTCCTCCCTGTCTGGTTTATTCATATATTTCTATTTCCCTCTCGGGCTGTCAAGATATGATATAAGAAATCAAATAATA